TGTCGTGGGGGTTACAAATTCAATAGAATACAAATTTTTTTTCTGACCACACATTAGATGTGAAAGTGGACTCCAATGTGGGGACTTTACATGAATAAATTTCTATGTGGCAATTTCTATGGTTCCTTACCCCAGGGTAGCATAAATACATTTTTTAGTGGTTAAGACCAATATGGGCCCTACTCCAAAAATTTCAAATTTTATGCGAAAAGGTTCTCTACCCCCTTAGAAACAAAGATGCCAAATAAGGGCCAAAAATAGAAGAAAGTGGCGAAGACTCTAAAAATAGCTTAAATCATACGATGGTTATTTATGATCGATATCATGACTTGCAAAAGCGATATAAGGTATCTTAAATGTTTAGGAAGAATTTTTGGAAGGATAGAAATCCTTTTCTTACTAAAAGTCCCATTCACTCTACTATTTTGCACCCTTTATATTTGGTATTTTACTGATTGTACTCCCAAATTTTTTTGCATTTTGAGCTCTCATTGGACGAATTATTGTCACATGAAAGAAGTAGGGCCACGCTTTGAAATAAGCCCCATTAGTCTTTTTCGGTCAAGATGGTAGATGTCAGTTACCATCGTATTTCGCACTTTTTTCATTTTTTTGGTAAAAAATTGTATATAGTGAAAAATTATTATTTATTTTGTTCACAAAAAATCCACTGAATTAAATATGATATTACAAATTAAAAAAAAAAATGACAAAAGAAGAATAACAAATTGAAAAAATCTTCAACTTGTTCGCTGATTTTTTACAACAACTGTTTAAAGATTCTTACAAAGTTTGTCAATAGAATGTACTTTTATTTTAAAATTCAATTCCATTGGAATTTTTTTTTTTGATATTTTCCCGTTTTGAGAATTTTTGCAATGAGATCTCTTTTTTCGTGATTTTTTTAACGATTTTGAAAAAGTAATTATCTTTTAACTTTGGTGTGATCGCATTAAATTATTTCGGTATCATCTATTCCGTTTCGCCACCACGGTACTACACTTCCATGTAACCCGCCATCAATTTTAGTTCTCAAGAAATCAAGTCAATTAAATAAATTGGTATTAATATTCGAATTCAAAAATAAAATATAAAAAACTCTACAAATGTACATTAGAAAAAAGTAAGTCAAAATGGAAAAAAATCATGCAAAATAAAACATTACTATTGTACACTTCAAAAGTCAAAATGAAAATTTTAAAATTTCACATTTTTACGCGATTTTTTTTGGATTTTATCCTTTTCTGCCAAGAGACAATTCCGAATTTGTGTAAATCGTTAAAATCAGATCAGCGGTTCTTGAATTATATGCGTAGTAACTAACACAACTTCCTTATATATAGACAGGTTAGAAGTATGCGTGGCCAGTTCCCTGGCGCCCAAATAAATTCCTAAGTTTGGAGGGAAAGTCAACAGTATCTCGTGTAATAATTTTCAAACCGATATCTTCATTATCTGGCAAATATAAAGATTTTAGATAAATAAAGATAGTGGGCGTAAAAGTAAGCGTGGTCAATATTTTTTTCTTTAAAAACCTAACTCGGGGTATGACTAACGTTTGTACAAAAAATTATGCTAATCGGTCCAGCCGTTTTCAACTGATTCCGTTACCAACAAACAACAATTGATTTTTATATATATAGATTTACTTTTTATACCACCCACCATTCTACGGAGGGTATATTAACTTTGTCATTATGTTTGTAACTCCTCGAAATATATATAATACACCCTACGATCTAGCGATGTCCGTGTGTGTATCTGTTATAATCACGCTTAACCTGCCGGTAGGCAGGTAGTTGGTAAATGGCCTCCATAAACATTTTTCATCAGATTTGGTACAAGATATAAAATACAGCCTTGAAATGTCTTTGCCAATTTTTTTCAAGATCTGTTCAGATTTAAATATAACTTCTAATTTGGGATCAATGAGGCACCTAACATACTGTGTTTGTCCAATCAGGATGCATTTTCCAAATCTGCTAAGATTGGACCAAATCAATTCAGATAACACAGTCAAATTTAGTGGAAACCGATTCAGTTAAAAATATATCTGCCATATAGCTCCACAGCCACGATTATAGATAGGTGTTTTTATTAACCTTACACAAATCCAGACTAGAAACGTATATTTGCTACGGGCTCTACTCTGTTCTGCTAAATATGCATATTGGTGGTTAATGGATTTTATTACAAATGTCTTTGACTACTATCATACCTATTTCACTCATTCACTAAGCTATCATATTTGTTTAATTGCTCACTAAAAACTGAAATTATGTGGAAGACGGAAAATGTATTCGACCTAAACAATTAACACTCTTAACAAGAAAATTGAATTAATGATGAACGTTATTCAAAAAGAGCACGACCAAAATAGTCCATTTCAATGAACTAAGATAATTGGCCACATAAATACACGCGCACTGTGGTCGAATAACAAATACCCTAATTAAATTGTGCTTTCGGCATGGAAGTATCAAAATAGAAATGTCAGAAATAGAATGAATTGAAACAAATGTTGGTTATGAATTGTCTTTGGTGTTTCTATCCCAACATACCAAAAATACAATACAGCTTGAGAATAATATTATGAAAATAGTTTATCATAAGAATTTTTCAACAATGCTTGAGAAACACTTTTTTGCACAAACTTTTCTCAAATCTGTCCTTTGTTGACAAATTTGTTTTGATTTTTTTTTTTGTGAAAATTGTCAACAAAAAATTATTTTCTTTGGTTAAAATCAAAATCACGCGAATTTAGGACCCATTTCCGGACGAAACTCTAAGGTAATGATGAATAATAAATCTGGGAATCTGTAGTATAAATTATTTCAATCTCATTTCAGAATGGAGGCGTCAAAAAGTTGCAGGAATTCAACAGAAGTGAAGAATAAGTGGAGGAGATACAGAAGCTCAAATAAGGGGAAAGAAAGCATCTAGGTATCAAGGCAACAGGATGCAGTGACAGCTGGGATGGCAATCAATGAATGAAATGTGTAAAATAATTAAAAAATGAATAAAAAAATATTTTTTACCATTGAAAAAATAAGCTTTATAAAATATTACTTTCGTAAGCTTATTCTGCAATTACAAGAATAAGCTTATGAATAAGGGTTCCTTTTCGATTATTCTATAATTGTTAAACAAACATTTCTCAATACATTCTCAAGATTTTCTCAAGCTTTAGGCTTATGTTTATAAGCTTATTAAAATATTATTCTCAAGTCAATTTGGTATGTTGGGATATTTTCCTTTTCTCGGCTTCGGGCATTGGCAGCCCAAAGCTCTTTTTCTTGTTGTCCAATGCAAGGCTATGTATTATTAAAAGTTTTTCAATTAACTGATTTGTCATTAACTTTTGTTGTGCCTGTTGAAAGCCATGGAAGAATCTAACTAATATTCTATTCCTCAGTAACGACAGATTACACTCATACATACGTGCATATTCCCAGCGAAGCAAACTGTGAGTGTTTGGTCTGACTTTGAGTTGATAGTCGGATGAAACTTCCGAATTCGAATGCGTGTTTGGTCCGAAGAACTCAGCACCAAGGAAGTAGAACAGCTTCGTAAAACTACAAGAATACAGTCAAAATTATGTGCAACACGTTGCTTTCATTTATTCGATATTTTCCCTAATTTTTTGGAATGGCTTAAATAGGGCGAAACCGGATACCGTAGTTATTTTGTTGTTGCAAAATAGTCAGGGTTATTCCCATTATTGTTGTTTTTATAAAAACAACGTTTGTTTGTTGTTAGTGGAGAAAGATGATAGTGTTTACTATAGGATAAGGCAGGGAATACCAAGATTTCGGAAAGCGCCACCAATCCTTAGTTTTTGTCTGGGGATATTCTCCCCAGTCGTTATTGTAAATAACTCCTACGACCGTAGTTTTTTATACCCTCCACCATAGTATGGTGCCCACAACATGTATATATATATTCTTGATCAGCATTAATTTCTATGTCGATTTAGCGAAACCTCTCGAAACCCTAATATAACGGCTACATTCGGTATTTTTAAGATTTTAAGAGAATTTTTAAAACACACTTAGGGTGGCAATATATAAAACGCTTTTTCGACTGGCTTAGGTCATCGGCTGGCTTCTTCGGAAAAAGAACAAAAGAGCGTAGATCCAAAATCTAACTAAGTTCACCTAAATCTCCTTTGTTCCTCTACGAAGAAACCAGCCGTTGACTTAAACCAGCCAAATAAGCATTTTATGTATTCTCACCTTAACCGTGGCAATAACAGTTCACAATTCTTGAGCAATCAATACCTTTTGAATATATAGGATAATGCAAAATATCATACACAGGGGATAATGTTCATCTAAAAAGTTCAACATTGGTTCGCTGGGCTTCTAATGAACACTTTTTGGCGCTTCAAATATTTCCATCGAAAGCCATTGCAGCCTGTCTCGCCTTATGATTTGAGAATATGGCTACTCTTTCGTTTGGAAAATTGGCAAATTGGGGGGCCATTTGCCCCATCCAGGCTTCACACAACACATTTCTTCATAATTAGCATTTACAAGAAGGACGTGCAAAACGGGTTATGCGGTGCCGGCATTTGAATAGGCTTTGATTTGTGTGATGTCGATGGGGATGGGGATGACTCCATTGGTTGTAGTGGATGCGTGTTTGTATGGCTGCGACGGGTGACTGTCAGACTGGCGGCTTAACTAACTCACTTGAATGACGGGGTGAAGCGGAGAATGAAAGCCTATGAGAAATAGTCATTCGTGTGGGAATCAACGGTGAACAAGTATTGGTTTGGGTGAAGAATGCTGATAGCCTGTTTTCTTCTTCCATACCCACAATTCCTTGGCAATGGCTTGATGAAGATATTTGGAAATAAATTTACTGCTACTTTGACAATAGCGATGGTGTCATTAATACTAATGCCTAATCCGTACAAACGTTCATATTTTCATTTTCTTTGACAATTTCCCACCAATTTGTTTTTTGTCAACTAAGTGACACAATTGCTCACTCACCACCGTTGTTGTGGAGACTTTAGACGCTTGGTTGCTGCCTGTTTTAAAGGAGTTGTTCCCAATTCTAATTGGACTCAGCAATCCATCAAGTACGTCAAACGGCAAACGTTAAACGACCGACTAACTTACCGACCTATCGACTTGCAAGACCAACCAGTCGGCGATACCCTTTTACTTCGCGTTAAAAATATATAATCCACAGCTATTTAAATGACGAAGAGGCAATTTCTTGCCTTTAGCCCAACGCACGCCTCGTTGTTTGTTTTCTCTTCATAATATTGATTGGGCGAAGGTTAAAGGAAAATGTATTAACTTTTAACAATTCTTTTCGTGTGACCCAAAGTCACAGTCTGACGTTCCGTTTGGGGAACTGCTGCAAGTACGGAACTTAAAACACTCACACACTAACACTTGTCCTGCTTCACTTTGGCTGGCTCCGGTTCTGTTGGTCTGCGTCTCACAGAGCCCCCAGTCTGTGTGTGCGTGTGTGTGTGTTATGGGTGACACAAAGGACACGTGATTCCCGATGTATGTAAGTATAACCGACACAGTGCCCTTTCGCTATGGCTTCAAAAATACTAATACTACAACTACGACTAGTGACAGTTTCAACGGAGCAAATTATACTACTGGCATAGGACTAGAAATTCCTAATTCACTCCGACAAATCAATCGTACAATCTTGCCCACCCCTCCTTGGCAGAACTGCCACTTCCCTTATATCAGTCATTTTACTTTGACATTTAGGTACATAAGCATAGAACCTAAGAGCTTTAGAGCTTTTTGCAACAGCTTTGTTCCTCTAGGGCAAAAATTAAAACATTAAGTCAAATTTAAGATAATTGAAACAAATGCGGTTTCCTCTCTCGCTGTTTGGAACGACTAAAAATTTGAAGCATGATTGGTTGATATCAAAATTAAAAAAATCACACAGGAGGCGAATTCAGGCCTTAGTCGTCTCTTTCTGATAAAAATGGGTTCGCCAAGATTCTACTATTATTATTTTTTCTAAACAGTAATATTTATTATTTATTTTTATTGAAAACAATGTGTTTTGACAGTGGTAGAAGAGAACGCCTTGACTTTGTTGCTTTTAAATATTTTGAAGATGTAGATTTCATCGCTCTCAGAACGGTTTTTACATTTCTCGTTAAATTGTTAGCCATTTAAAAAGTTAAGGAACAAACCTCATATAAGATATGTTGAAATGTCACCTTCTGCTGCCATTGAATACAGTGTGAATGCCGACGAAGTGTTTTGACAGTTTCCAAGACAACACACGGCTGGCCATTTAAATTTAATCTACCTAGTTTAATTAGGCGTTTTATTGTAATTCCTCTAACATGTATTCTCGGGAGGGAGTGACGTGCACTAAAATTTCTATCCATTAAAGATTAATACAAGTAAAAGGTATTTAAGTAAATGTTAGCAGGAGAGTGGCTAAGAACCGATATGGCTGTTTGTGTAGCCCAAGAAAACGTTTTCAGGCACTTAAGACTATTTTATTTGTTTAACATAACAAATGATATCACAATAAAAGATACCTTTTAAATAGGGCCATCTATTCGGGCGTACCTATAAAAGCAAGCGTAGTTGTGTAGATCAGTATTTCCCAAAGTATGGGTAGCCAGAAAATATTGTATGAGTCGAAATTGCAAATATTTATGAAATCTCCACCCACCAACTTGCAAAAAAACTAATTCTTTGAATGAGCAATATTAGCCCACTGTTTAGTGAGTAGCCGAATATATATTAAACGTCTACAGGACGAGAATTCGTGCTTAAGTTAACATGCGGATTCGAAATTCGAGCCTTCATAAAACAAAATAGTTTTGCGAGAGAATTACATGAAAACCGTTAAGATTATTGTTTTATAGCGCATTTATACTATTAAAGGTTAACCTATTGGATTTTAAATATCTATATCTTTTCTTTATAGTCCACCTTTGTTACCCCTTACTTTAGGAACAGTAAAAGATAAATTTCACATTATCGGGTTTTCATTATTACATCTTTCCGCTAAAATAAAATGTTTGTTTTTTTTACAGAGATATGGCAAGCTTTTTGTCAAAGTAACTGGTAGTCACAGCATTTTTTTCACAATTTAAGTTTAAAAATAATAAACAGAACGAATTTGTAATTAATTTCGTGAAATAAATATATATTTCAGTTCTTCACTATAAAATAAACAATTTGCGTTACCCATTTTTATACAAATAAATTTTGCTGTTATTGCCATATTATCAACATAAAATACGGCAACATGAATTTCGTAAACTTTACCTTAAAAGATAAAGGGAAGATGGTCCAGTATATTCTGTCTCTCGTCCCTAAAATCAAAAAACGTTTTCCCCAAATCTCCTCAAAAACAAGTAAAAAAGCTGTAAGTTCGGCCGGGCCGAACTTTTAATACCCTCCACCATTTGGTACAAATTTGACAATTTCCAAAAAAAAACAAAATAAAATCCGTTAAAATTTCTGTTAAAATCTTAAAAATACCGAATGCCTATACGACGACGTGGACCTGCATAGGCAACTTTTGTCATAAGTTATTACAATATTTAAATGCGAAACTTGAAGAAAAATCTGTTTATAATGTAGCTAAAATCATCAAAAAACCGAATATAGGGGGTACCGTTTAATGGGGGCTATACGAAGACGTGGACCTGCACAGACAATTATCTGGCATGGGCTGAAGTATCCATTACGAGCTTCACATGCGAAATTTGAAACAATCCCGGCAAATAATGTCGCTAAAATCATCAAAATACCGAATAACGGGGTTTAGGTATATGGGGGCTATACGAAGACGTGGACCTACATGGCCCATTTTCTGTTTTATGCTGCAGCATCTATTACGAACTTCAAATGCCAACTTTGAAACGATTCCGGTAAATAATGTCGCTAAAATCATCAAAATACCGAATATCAGGAGGTACCGTAATATGGGGGCTATACGAAGACGTGGACCTACATAGATTATTTTCTGTCTTAGGCTGTAGTATCCATTACGAACTTCAAATGCCAAATTTGAAACAATTCCGGTGAATAATGTTGCTAAAATCATCAAAATACCGAATATCGGGAGGTACCGTTATATGGGGGCTATATGATAACTTGGACCTACATTTACGAACTTAACCTGCCTACTAGCAAAATATACATGTGTGCAAAATTTTAGCCTTCTATCTCAATTTGTTCGAAAGATAGCGTGATTACAACAGACAGACAGACAGACAGACAGACACACAGACAGACAGACGGAATGGCTAAATCGTCTTAGAATTTTACGCTGATCAAGAATATATATACTTTGTTGGGTCTGACATGAGTATTTCGAGGAGTTACAAACGGAATGACAAAATTAATATACCCTCCATAGTATGGTGGAGGGTATAAAAAATCTCCAAGCATTTTACAAAAAACGTACAGAGTAAATCTATTTGAAAAAATATTTGTACATAGAAATCAATTCATATACTAGTTTATCTTGCATACTACACACGTAAAATAGCAAAAAATAGAAAATAACAAATAAATAGAACATTTAAATTTCATAGACTAGAGTTTTCAAAGTTGCAATGCAACCACGTCAAAAACTTGAAATTCCAAATCGTCAGCATTTTCAGTCTCATTTGGTTTATATAAATTCTTATAATTAAAAAGCTTTAACATTTCTTTGGTAGTTTCAAATTTATTGCAGCAAATGGAATTATTTGAAAATTGAGTATTTACTCTCAAAAGAGCTTCCAACAAATCATACTGCATTTTATTTCTAAGTTTGGTTTTCACTGAGTTCATAACTCTTTCTACAAATACACTGCTGGTTGGCACCTTCTGTGTAAAACAATCATGCAACTTTTAGCACTTTCAATGCAAATATCAATGTAACTGTTTTACAAATATAAACTTTTGTAAATATTAAAATAAGTAAGGTAGTTAGAATTTTTATTGCAAAAAAATCCTCACAATTTTTTAAAATGATCCGCACTAAATCCTTAAGTCCCCAACGTGAATTTTTCGTCCCCAATTTGAAAAAAATATCTCCTGCTTGGAGAAAATTCCTCAATACTGGCAACACTGGTCTGACCTTTTGCTTATCGGACAGTTTGTACTTAAGTGAAACTTGCAATAACGAAAAACGATTTATGTGTCCGACAACATCGTTTTTATACCTTCCACCAAAAAAGGTATGGAGGGTATATTAAGTTTGTCATTCCGTTTGTAACTCATCGAAATAATCATTTTAGACCCAACAAAGTATATATATTCTTGATCAGCGTAAAATTCTAAGACGATTTAGCCCTGTCCGTCCGTCTGTCCGTCTGTTGTAATCACGCTACAGTCTAAACGAATTAAGATAGGAAGCTAAAATTTTGCACAGATCTCTCTTTTGTCTGCAGGCAGGTCAAGTTCGAAGATGGGCTATATCGGTCCACGATATCGTATAGCCCCCATATAACGGTACCCCCCGATATTCGGTATTTTGATGATTTTACCCACATTTTTCAACGGAATTGTCTGAAAATCCACACAACGAGTTCCTTGTGGGTACTTTATACCTCGGTAGAGAATTTTCCATATAGGTCCACGATATCGTATAGCCCCCATGTAACGGTACCCCCCGCTATTCGGTATGTTGATGATTTTACCCACATTTTTCAACGGAATTGTCTGAAAATCCACACAAGGAGTTCCTTGTGGGTACTTATACCTCGGCAGAGAATTATCAATATAGGTCCACAATATCGTATAGCCCCCATATAACGGTACCCCCGATATTCGGTATTTTGATGATTTTATCCACATTTTTCAACGGAATTGTCTGAAAATCCACACAAGGAGTTCCTTGTGGGTACTTTATACCTCGGCAGAGAATTGTTCATATAGGTCCACGATATCGTATAGCCCCCATGTAACGGTACCCCCCCCGATATTCGGTATTTTGATGATTTTACCCACATTTTTCAACGGAATTGTCTGAAAATCCACACAAGGAGTTCCTTGTGGGTACTTTATACCTCGGCAGAGAATTATTTATATAGGTCCACAATATCGTATAGCCCCCATATAACGGTACCCCCCGAAATTCGGTATTTTGAAGATTTTACCCACATTTTTGAACGGAATTGTCTGAAAATCCACACAAGGAGTTCCTTGTGGGTACTTTATACCTCGGCAGAGAATTATTTATATAGGTCCACAATATCGTATAGCCCCCATATAACGGTACCCCCGATATTTGGTATTTTGATGATTTTACCCACATTTTTCAACGGAATTGTCTGAAAATCCACAAAAGGAGTCCCTTGTGGGCATTTTACCTCCTCAAAATGAAGTGTCTATATAGGTCCACGATATCGTATATTCCCCATATAACTGTAACCTCCGATAT